TCGGGTTGCTCGGCAACGGCACAGTGCCCAATGAATGTGACGTTACATTCAGAAGGTTTTTGAAACAGATAATTTTCCAAACATCAAAAAACATGAACATCAAAGATGTCATTAAAAACTAAACTGATTCTTGGAAATCAGTCCAACATTTCAACATTCCAAATAAACCTGAAACTGCTTTGTTTTCCAAAAGACCTTCAGCTCCTCTTAACGAGATTTGACAGACAAGGTGCAGGAGTGTGTTCATCCCTCCGCAGCGCGAGTGTGTGTGGGAGTGTGTGAGCAGGAGGGGAGGAGGGTCAGGCATTCGGCCTGTTAAGCATCTGTCATTAAACAGTGTAAGTTGTGTCTTTCATGGTACACTGCTTTCACTCCATCACTGTTTCCACAACCAGGTCAGAGCACCAGTCCACACAAAAAGGTTCAAACCAGCAACTCATCCTCTGAATCTGGATCCTAAACAGTCTCACATTTTTAGCTACGTTTCACCTCATCAGGAAATAAAACAGTGAAGCTGGAACAAGTTATTTTTATTCTCTCCAAATTTAGCTTTTAAATGCAAGAATTTGATGCAGCATTTTGTGGTTTTGCCTCCCAAAAATTTTAAAATTTGTCAAAAAAAATTATTTGAATCAATATTTACTTAGTAAATTATCAAAATAATCATTTTAATTCTTATTCAGGAAATAAAACACAAGGAGAAACTGATGTGAAGTTTTTCATTATTCTGTAGACTAAAGCTCTATTGTAGCTTTTCTGCAAACTTATTACATCACAGCAAAAAATAAAATCAATCAATCAATCAATCAATCAATCCTTGGATAATTAAATAAATCATCAGAGAGACTCATGTTTGACTTATTGTACTTTTTCACTCCAACTAGCATCAATTCTTCTGGGCTGTTCGCTGGTTGTATTTTACAGTGTAAGTTTTATTTATTTTGCTGGATTTTGTTAAATTTTCTGCCTTTTTTGCAATGCTACATTTCCTAATGTTTTTTTCCGCTTGCATCACATGTGCAGCACTTTCTACTCTTTTGTTTTGTAAAAATTCCCAGTAAAAAAATGTAATTGTTGAAAATAATTTTAAAAAATGATTTCCCCTTCCAAATTTAAGATTGACTACACATCTTATTGTCACCAAAATATTTCATTTATACTTAAATTAGATGAATTTTTAGAAGAAACTTGTAGGTTTATGTAAATCATAGCTAAAACTTTTTCATATCAAGCTTCATAAACAGATGGAGATTCAATCACTGAGTTATTGTGCAAATTATGATAAATATAAAGCAATAAAATCATTCAACACAACTATTTAAATTTAAATATTTTCCATTCACAACCCAATGAAAGAGATTTAGTCTAATTTGTAAAAACTTTTAAATAAGGAATAATAATAAAAATGTTTAATTTTTTTTTGCATATTCAAATAAAAAAATGTCTAGAGATTTAATATGAACCTGCTGCATTTCTGCAACCGCTAAGAAAATCAAGAAAAACAATTCTGATTACTTTAGTGGTAAAAAATCATAACTTGGTTTGTGTTTCTGCAGATTTCTTCACAATAATGTGTAAAAGTAGAGAATATAGCTGCAGCATGAAGCTCGTGATGAGGCTAATAACATGAAACTGCCAGTGCAGCAGTGGCCCATTTAGACCAACTCCAAAAATAGGTTGCAGTCCAGCCAAAACATTATGACCAGCTGGTTAATTTTAAAAGAACTCCACCAGGATGTTATCAGCTGAGACAAAAAAAAAAGAGGATTAATTGTAATCTCTATCGCAATTTAAATATTTTCCATAAATGTGATGCATCTGCATGAGATGATGAATCCTAATAACTGGCACAGCGGTGAGAATTTATTTCATACATGCTGCATTGATTTCTTTTTGTCTTGCACACATGTTTTAACTGATTCCAACAGAAACATTTGAGCCAAAAAACCTTTTAGAGCCGAAACAGGGCCGTGTTTTTAACTTGTTACAGCCAAAGAAAAGCCACAATGATGGCATTAGAACGCAATCAGTGCCTGTCGGCTGATTTATTCAGGCGGGACTGCAACATAACCCGTCCTGAAATGTTCTCATTTGGAGTTAAAAGCAAACTGCAGTCATAAGCAAAAGGCCAAATTTCCTACACACACCTAAGGCCATCCATCATGACGGTCGCGGACTAAATGCCACCTAGTTTTTCATGACTAGAGCAGATCTGTGACTAGAGGAGAGCCGGAAACGCAGCAGCAGAGCGGATCGCTGCAGTGTTTATCCGACAGCTGGGAAAAAATTTAATTGAAACATTTTCAAGCACTTACAAGGGAACTTTTCAAACTTTTCCAGCACCAACATTTTGGAGATAAAACATCACAAATTCAGTAAAATAAAGACAATTAAATCACGTTATTTTATTTCTATTATTAATATCCTGTGAAAATATTCTCCATCAGGAACAACGTAAATTAAAATATAACAAAATGTATATTTTGAAATGTCTCTCACACACACACACGCCTGTCAAAACACTAATTTAACCGAAATAAAAATCAAAAACTACAAACAAATTCAGATTCAAAAATACTTTACTGATCCAAAAGTAAATTAAATGTTGTTAAACTCATTAATTCAGATTCTTCAAAGTGTTATGTAGTCAAATTTAATTTTTATAGCACATTTCAGCAGCAAGGCATTTCAAAGTGCTTTACATCATTAAACGATCTTTACTGGCTGTTGGCAGTAAAGATCTCCTGTAGCGGTCTGTGTTACAGCGAATCTGAAGAAGCCTCTGACTGAAGATACTCATAACTTAAAAAAAATCTTTATTTCAATAACTTAAGAGAGAATCGACCACAAACCAGTAAGTCATTAGTTGCGTTTCCATTGACGATATAATAGAGCAACTTGGAATCACGATTTTTATTTATTGTGACAGGCAGTGTAGCCTTTAAACATGTGCATTTGACTGCACTTTATTACAAACACGCAGACTTTCCAAATTGAAATTTAGGATTTTAGAACGCTGCATCTGCTGGTTGCTGGAAACCCCACCTCTGGGGGTCACGTAGGGGTCATGGAGGAGGCTAAGTGAGACCTCACACTGGACAGGGGCCGGCGTTCGGGCGGCGCTGGCATATGGGTGTGAAGGAGGCGGGGCAGCGACCAAGCTGTCCACTCTGCTTCTCCAGAGACGTCCAGCTGTCACAACAGACACTTACCAGCCCTCACACTAAACACCCACAGGGGAGACGGGGGACTTGGGGGCATGAAGGGGCATCAGGGGCAGCATCCTTCCTGTTTCAACCAGAGGCAGAGGAACTGTACGCTCTTCCTCCTGTGCTGGCCCTCCTCCCTTCCAACTCTGAAGCCAGGGTGCTAACCTGCTAATTATAGCCGCTAAAGGATGAAGGTCTGACCCAGATTCTTATTTTAGGTCCAGAGTTCAGCGAGAGCAGAGAGAACCGACCCAAATCAAGGCCGATCGAAGCTAATTATTTACAAGAATTACTTTATCACTGCGAAACACTAAACCCTACTCAGTATTTGTGTGAATATCTTAAAGGGGCAGCATTAAGTATTTTCCAGGCACAATCAAGTAACTGTTTCTAGGCCTGTCATGATAACGATAAGTGAGGCTACTGCAAGAAATGATAATATTGCTGTTTGAGTCCAGGTGTTTTGAACAGCCAAATTTCTCAAAAATGCATGAAAGAATTAAGGCAACGCTTCAGGTATGTTTTTTGATGAGAGAACAACATTATGACATGATGTAAAGTTAAAATAAGTTGATTTAACATAATAATAATAATAATAATAATAATAATAATAATAATAATGATAAGCCCCTTTAGTAAGCTTCTCATCAAACAAAACTAACTACAGAACTGTCAGTTTCACAACTTTTTGTTTTCTTTTAATGATTTGTAAAAGTGCTGCCTGAATCTGTTGTCTTATGTTATTTATTTATGTGCTTTTTTTTCATTTTAGCCTTTAATCTCTACAAAACCCCAAAATCTTATCAGGTTTTTTGGTCTAGTTTCTAGAGCAAATATCTTAGTAAGTAATTATTCAGAAAGAGATGGAAGGTTCTTTTAGGTCAATAATTCCTTAGTGCTGATTTGGTGATCATGTGAAAATGGCTGCAAACAGATGTGCTATTACGCAACCGTACGTCTTAGAAAAGCAGAAATTGAGCGTCCTGTGCAACCAACAACAATGCAGCAAGTGCTTTCTGGATGGAAAGTCAACAAAACACTTGTCTTATCCAGCAGCCATTGTACAGCGCATACAGTAGTAAAACTAAACGTGCTGGAGCCCAGCTTGGGTTAACAGGTAGTGGGACAGTGTTATTTAACATTTAAGAGGTTTTTGAAACGGGTCGTTTTCACCAAAAACATCAACTTATTGCTAAAAAACAAAATTGCTGTTTTTAGAAACAGCTAAAACCCAAATGAAAGCGTAAAAACGTACAAAATGTGACATTTGCATAATAGTAATATGAATTCTGTAGCCCAAACAAAATTAAAATGGCCTGATTTTGATCAACTTTAAATATTTATTGTCATAAGGAAGCCTCATTTTGTAGTGTAAACATTTTTAATTCACAAAATGAAAAACCAACAGAGTTGTTTGCCTTCAAAAAAGCAGCCAACATCTCCCAGGAGTGTTTTCTTTCTCCACCAAACCATTCCCTCCACAGTGACAAAGAGTCCCAGTACCACCCGTATCACTTAACCTCGTGTCAAAACACAGGAGTAACACAAGCGCAGGGAGCAGGTGAAGGTCCTGAGCTCATAAAGGAATGTGCAAGCTGGGAGTAACACCCTGCGCACAGGAGCGGCTCTTTACTGGAGGGGTACAGCCGTTTCTGCAGAGCTAAAGCTGGAAACTGGCCAGGTAGAGACAGGAGAAAACACACCTTCACCTCAGGGATCCACAGAGCAACACGGCACGGACACGACTCAGCGGTTTGGATTAAGGGATAAAAAGCAGGAGTTGGCTCTTACCACGGCGTCCCGTATATCCGGAATCCCTTTATGGTGACGTCCGAGTCCTGCAGGTACACACAGTTTGTGAGGAGCGACTGGACATTGTCAAAATCCTCCGGTTTGAGTTTGGAGACTGAAGGGAATCTGTAGTAATCCTGCTTGACCAGCTCTGCCATAAAGTCCTTATCGAAGGTCAGTTCGTGGTTCCCGGCGATCACCACCTTGAACTCGTACGGAAGGCCACCTGGAACAGACGAGAGCCGACAAACTGGTAAAAAAAAAGGTTCTCTGTAACAGTCTGTGTTTAATTTGGTCCAGTTGTACGAAGAATAATGTTTCCCCTTCCCAATATGTTGGGAAGCATTAAAGGTGAACTATTATGCTTCCTTGAACAGGTTAGAAGTTGAAAACATCTTTATTAAATTTGCAAAGCAGCCAATCCAGAAGAGGCAATCCTCTTCCTTTACTGTGATTGGCTGAAACGCCATGACTTCAGACAAAGATGACCATAGATGCTAGATTCTCTGATAGTGTTAGCTTAGACAGTTTCCTCTGTCAACTTAAGTAGCTCACTTTTTTTCAAACTTTCTTTAGCATCTTATTTTAGCGGTTAGCATGGCTAGCATTCCGAAAGCATCAATAACGAACCGTATTTCCTAGCTAAAGTAGATTCTTACAGTAGCAAAAAGTTTCTAAAAGGCTGCTAACATTTTTGAACCTAGAGTACAAATCGACTGACAGAAATTAGCGTTTCTCTTTTTAGCCTTCCTGTTATCTGCTTGACACTCTGTTCTCTCTCAGTCCTCACATCAGAATGATGAGATAATTTCTCAACTACAAATAACAAATGTTATCATTCTGTCACAAATATATAGCTCTTAACTGTTTCTAAACCTGCCCTGTATTTTGCATTATCAGAGATATTAGCATGGATTTTAAATTCAAGAAAAGTCTAATTTTAAAACATTTTAAGACTGACTGTAGAAACCATAAATAAGTATAAAACTGATGTATAGAAAGTGTTTTGAATTATCAAAATGTGCAGTTTTTATTTGCACATTAACACAGAAACATCTTCTAAAGCATACAGAGATCTCTAAAAAGTCTGTTTATTTTCCACTTGGTGTGCCAGTTTTTACAGAAACAGATGTTTGTCCAAATATTTTCCACCTGCAGCTCTCCCCTTATCCCTCAGCAGCTCCCTGTATACCTAACCCGGAGCACAGATCACGACTGAAACGAAAGCCAGATAATTGAAGAGAAAAATACCTTCAATTCAGACAGTGAAAGAGGTTACAACCACAGCCGACGGTTCAGCTTGACCCCTACAGGCCACCGTCCATCGCTGTAGCTGTCAGGCAACAGGAAGAAAGCATGAACCCGAATCTGAACTAAATAGAGAAGAACATCTATTACAACTCTCATCCCCTCATCTTTCAACTTCTGCTCTGCCCTTTTCTCACTCCTCTGTCAAGGTGATTTGTCCCGGTTCCCCTCTGCTATCAGGAAACCGACTCACTGCTTTATTCCACCTGACTGAGCACTCAACCAAAGGTTCTGGCCTTCATCACCTTCCCATCACTCCCAGTTTCTCTTTTACCGCTCCAAGCTTCTCTTTTTACTGGCTGTATCAGGGCAAATCAGAGCCGTGAATTATGCTGAGCATTGAGAGAAAAACAGGAATTTCAGAGCAACCCAAGGTATAGCAGCGTGTGATATAAATTATGGCAATATTAGATGACTGCTAGTTAATAATTCAACATTTTTCCCACAGCAAAGATCGTAAGTTGTTTTTTTTTTTGTGTAACCCAACAGCTACAGTACTCTTTCACAGTGCTTGGCTCAAATAATAAATAAAGAGCCAAAACATCTAGGAAAAAGATAAAAACTTATAACACCAATGCAGAGTTCAAACTAAATATATTGAAGGTGATCTATTACGGTTCCTTGAACAAGTTAGGATAGGTTTATGGATTATATAAAAAAAATTTCATAAATTTTTTTTGCACAAATCATTTTTATGTAATGAGATTTTAGTCTGGTCAGTTCAGAATGAGCTGTTTTAGGGCGTCTTGTCACTTTAGATCCAAATAAGCTGCTGCTGGCCAAGACTCCAACTCAAAATTTAAACTTGTACGTGAAAATGGCTGCAAACGGATGCACAATTACACAACCGCACATCTTTGAAAAGCATAAGTGGAGCCTCCAGCACAGCCAACAAGAATGCAGCAAGTTGTTCCTGGTAGTCAACAACGAAACTTTTGTCTTTTCCAGCAGCCATTGCACACACAGTTTACATATAGCAATAAAACCAGCTGACCAAATGAGCTGGAGCTCCATCTCGGTGGTTGCTAGGTAACGGGGAAGGAGTTGCTAGGTGACATTGGATTCCTAAGGTTAATTTTCCTGACAACAAAAAACATACTGGTGTGTTTTTTTAAGTCTTTGGGTCGTTTTTAGAAGCAGTTGAAACCCAAAAACATCCAAAATGTGAGTTTTAACAACTTTCCTAACTAGGATTGAACTGGAGTGAAACTAAGACTTTGAATCTGATTCCACAGTTTTAACGAGCCACCAGAGAGCGAGCTGAAGCTCTCCCCATCCCCTATGTCTCTGTGCACAGCCTGCCAGCTGGCTGAAAAAGGGGCTTTCACACTTTCCTCTTCCTTACAGGGAAAAACAAATTCAGGTTTTTGGAAATATGTTCAGTCACAAGAAACATCTAAAGTGATGGTGCAGCAATTAAAGGAACTCCACAGGTCACTTTTAAAACAGCGTTTCTGTTATGCATCAATCAGCTTGTTACTCCCTGAAGACAATGAGACAAAACATGAAATCTACTTAAATTTATCCCCAGTTTAATACAAATCTGTGTTTAGGTGTATGTATCAATATGAAAGTATGTGGTATCGATGAGAATCTAATAAATGGAATAATGTTTTATGATAGCAGCGGTAGGAATAAATCTTTATTTATTTAAACAGATGCGTTTACATCATGCTAAATGTTTCTGGTTTATATTTTTGTACAAATACATTTTTCTAGTATAAAACCAGTTTGTCCTGCTGCAATAAGCTTCCAAAATCTGATTTAGCATCATTTTAATATCATTTTACTTGTTAATCTTGTCCTAATGAGAATACTGTGTTTGAGTCAGTTTTGACCCTTTTTTATGGTTTTTTAAGTATTACAAACAGAGTCATTCTGAATCGATATGTTTCAATTTATTGTGTGTTGATGTAAAATTTCCTGTCTGCCAAAAGAGCCGACTCACCTCAATGCAGCTAAAATTACCTAATGGCATAAATTAGCTGATTATTTAGGTTTGACAAACAATCTAAACTGACTAAATGGCAACATAAAAAACACTCTGTCAAGAGGAAACTCATGAAATGAGCCACCATACTTTAGAGCAATTTAAAAAAAGATATTTAAATTTTTATGCATTTCTGCATCTAAACAAGCAGAAGACACAAAGTGGTCCTTTTCATTGCTGTAAAAGTTTATTTTTGCTTTTAATGAGCAGTTTCTAGCTTTACATTTGCAACAATTAAAACAGTCTTTAAAAACAAGCAGGAAACTGGTTCTGGTTCCGAACAATAAAGTATTTACGTTTTCCATGTAGGCAGGTGATTTAACGTGAAGCTTGGTTTCAGAAAAAACAGAAGACACTGTTTTAAGATTAAGTTATTTACATATTTTATGATTATTTTGTATTAAAATCCACCCACAGAGTTGAGTTTGACTGGCAGGAAGATATTTGTTTCATAACAATTTGCTGCTTTGCTCCTTTGTGCCATATGACTTTGGTCAGTAATAACAGAAGGTTATGATGAAAGCCAAGAGGGCAAATTGAATAAAATGCTCAATAAAAGAGTCCAATAAAACCTAAATGTTGAGTAAAAACCGAATTGATTTACCATGACATGTGAACAAAAACAGAGGAGAGCGCGCCGCTTTATTCTGCAGGTGGTCAGATTGAACAAAAAAATCCCAGAAAAAGAGGAATAATTCTACATAAAAACACACGGGGTCAATAAATATCAGATTCAGCACATCCAAGTTTGCTGGGAATGAAAGTCTAACGGCTCCCCGGTCTACGGGTTTCATTTCTGCTCCTCTAAATTAGTTCTTGTTGCATCTGAGGGTCATAAATTCCAGTTAAATGAAAACGTAGACCCACAACACACTAACTGAATCAGATGGCCATTTCCACACCATCACACACACACACACACACACACACACACACACACGCGCGCGCGCGCGCGCGCGAGCCAAAACTGCATCATTTCCTCTGCCACCACCATCTCCATCATTCCACTGGGAATTTCTACGAATCTTTATCATCGCCTCGGAGTTTTGATGGAGTGATGCACCTGCAAAGTGCAACAAAAAGGAAAAAAAGAGGAAAAACTGCAGAGCATGAACTTGTAAAATGTTTTGTCACACATTGAGAGCAAAAAGACATCTGAGCATTTAAAAAGTTTTATTGTCAGTGCAAACCTAAAAATACTCCGAGTTAAAAAAGTTCGACATACTCTATTCGAAGTTAAAGAGGTGACAATCTCATAAAATTAATCTGTCATCTCTCCTCACACATCTTCAAATTAATCCTGGAGGAAATGTGACAAAAACAAATCAAATAAGGGGTTTAAATTTAGATCATAAGCAGGAAAAAAAAATCACTCCATTAAGGTGTCAAAAACCTGGACCTGGAGTTAATTTTCTACTTCAGCATAAACAAGCCACATTTACATAAAATCTGAAGGTGTAAAACAAATTTAAGACAGAAAAAAGTAAACTCAGGCTGTAAGGATGCAAAAGGGCTTTTGTTTTAACGCAACATCACAGGGATGAAAGAGATACGTGGGTTAGAGTCTGAAACCAGATCAGAGGCAGAGCTGCATTATCAGATAAGCCGGGTCACAGGAAGCTTACTCCTGCGCATCGATCTCTGATGATCTGCTCCGAGAGGCCGAGCGGGAGTCAATCCTCCAGACAAACGGACCGCACAAACGCTTCAGAAACGCTCCACGTCTACAAACCCAACGCCAGCACACTGAGCCTGTCCAGGTACTTCACTGGAAGTTCCTCTTTTCCGCAGAAAATCCAAGATACTTGGGTAAATACTGCGAGACTCAAAAGGTTTTTACTGGACTACAAAATAAAATCTCAAATTTTTTATCCTTTTTTCCCACTTTCTTTCCAAAAAGTGTTTTTTATTTCTGTGAGTTGAACAATGACAGAATCAGGGTGAGTCTTCGAGAATGGTTGTTTAATTAGGAGAAAATAGTGATAATATAAGCGGAATAAAGACAGAAGAACGTCGAAAAATTACAAGAAGTTGTTTTAATAAGAAGTGGTTTCTTATTCTTGTTATAAAAAGGTCTTAGTCTTCACATCACTGGCTTCTTTTCTTAACCAAATTAAAGTATTTCATGTAGGGAGTGGTTTTAGACACAAATGGGTTTAAAGACATGTAGAGAGAAAGGCTTACATTTTATTAAATTTCATCAAATTTCAGCAAAAATAGCACAAAAAAAAGATCTTAAATTCAAATTTTACCTTGTCTGCGTGTAGTTTGAGTAGGCCACTCTAAAATCCACCTTTTCATTCTCCTTGAATGTTTCTGTGAAGTGTTTTGGTTTGGCAATAAAACCCACCAGTCAGATGTGTGTTTCAGACGTTCTTGTTTGCCGGTTTCGCATGTTTTAAAGATCTGGATGTGAATACCTGAAAATCTCAGAATCAAGCGCTGCCCTCCTGTCTTCCCGTCCGGTCCGAATGTTTCTGTATTCATCAGAAAAGAAAGGAAGCAGCCCATAGTTTCAGAGGAAACTCTGGCGTTCTGTGCCCTGCTGCACCCATCATTCAATTCCTGAATGACTAAAATATTTAACTTCCCCAAGAATTTAAAATGTCAACTGGAATACAAAAATCTAACTCAATATTTCAAATCAGAATAATACAACAGTGTATTAGGGCCACTGCAGACAGGAAAAAAAGCTGCAGTAAATTTTCACAAAATAAAAAAATCACCAATTTTGAGATTGATCTCAGGATTTCTTTGGAACAATTTTTGAATTTTCAACTTTTGAAACTGAGAAGGTTCCAATTTTTTTCTAGAAAATTGCTCAGATTAATGTAAAAAGTTCTGAGTTTCTTTTCTAGCACATTTCCAACTTTTTCTAGAAATTTTCTGAAATTAATCTAAAAATTTGAGGGATTTTTATCCTAGAAAATTTCATTTCAAACTGATTTTTTTTTTTTTTTTACTTTTTTCTAGAAATGTTCTGAGATCAAACATTTTATATTTTTCTAGCAAATTTTCAACTCTTTAAACTCAGAAATTTCCCAGATTAATCTGAAAACTTCAGCTTTTTTTTTTTTTTTTTTTTTGCAAATTTTTGATTTTTCAAGCTCAGAATATTTTTTTTTCTAGAAAATTTCTGAGATTAATCTGAAAATCTCAGATTTTTTGGCAGGAATGTACTTCCTTTTATCCCCATCTCCAATGGCCCCAATACGCCGCCGTAGACTGCAACAGAAGAGGATCAAAGGAAGGAAAACACTTGAACCTTTTCCATTGTTCCTTTAGCGTTTAAAGGAACAATAATTTTTAACATGATAATTTTTATCATGTTATCAAATAAAAATTAACCTAAATATCCACTTTGCTGCCATCATATGTGAAAAAAAACTCCTATCTTTAAATTAAATAAAATCAACTAAATACAAATGTATTTCTTCTCCGTCTCTTGACCTACTTCTTCATTTCCTCACTCAAGAGAACAACAAAACCAGCTGCAGCGAATATAAATAAAAACCTTTTAGACGCATTATCTTAACAAGAACTAGTGTGTTTTCAGAGCAAACAGCAACAAAGTAAAAATACATAAATGAGATCCTTTTACTTTAAATGATGCAGGAAACAGATATGAAACCTCCAAAGATTACACATGTGTAAAAACAGGAAGATCTTTGTTTCATTTCAACTTCCAACAGTCCAATAGAATATGTTGAAGTTTCTAAATATTAAGCAATTATTAACTTAAAACCAGCAGCTCATATGTCTTGCTAAAAAGTTACTTGTAAGTTGGTTTTGTTTTATTTTAGGTGTAATGAGACATTTGCTCTAGAAACCAGACTAAAAATACTTGGTAAGACTTTGTGTTTTTGCAGTGTAGGAGGGATGTGAGGAGTTTCTGGATTTTAATAGCATTTTATTTTATTTTTTTCCTCCGTTACTGTCATAAAAGTAGGTCAGTGTCACCAGTGAGACTGCTGCGAATCAGCAGAACACTCTGAAGAGTTTTTAGAGGGAAACTTTCACAGCGACCCTAAAACTCAACAGGGTGCATCTCTTTGATACAGATGAAATACTTTTTAATTCAATGCTGGTAGCAGCTGCTGGTTTTATTTCTGATGTCGGTGACATTGAGAGGTCCTGAAAACGAACCCAAATGTCCACTTTGCTGCCACCAAATGTGGAAAAAAACCACAAACTACTTCTATATTTAAATTAAATAGTAAATTTAAATTAAGTCATTAATTAGTAACATTGTGTAGAAGAATCTTAACAAAAATCAGTTTTTTATATTTAACATCATCAGCCACCATGTTTGTATTCTTCTGTTGCATGATAAATTAAACACTGTTCTGTATTTTGCAAACTCGAATGTCTTGATTATTAAAGGTCTGGGTCACATGTTCATATCCAAGTTTAAATGTTTACTGTAAATTTACAGTACAGACTAAGTTAGATGATTTCCACAGAGCGTCAGGTTAATTTGATTCATTTGCACAGCAAAAACACAGAATCTTATCAAGCATTTTTGGCCAAGTTTCTAGTCCACATCTTAGTTCACTTGAAATAAGGAAAACTAACTTACAAGTAACTTTTCAGCAAAATGTAGGAGCTTGTTTTAGGTAAATAATTCCTTAATATTGATGAAAACGTTCTTGTTCCACTGAAATTATTTCCCTTTTAACTAGAACTTTTTCATAAATATAAAGGAATTAGTTACTTAAATCAAACTATAATTTGCTGAAAAGTTACTTGTAAATTATTTTTTGTCTTATTTCAAATGTAATAAGATATTTTCGCTAGAAACCAGACAGAAATAACTGGTAAGATTTTGTGTTTTTAAGTTAAGTCGCTACAACCCAGAGGAGGAACTGAATGCCTCACACATTTCCCACCCACAGCATGAGGGCAGAGGGAGAGGTCAAAGGTTAACTGAGGCAGGGTGTAAGGGTCGGCCAGGTTAAACTGGACACTTCAGCTGACCAGCTGGGTGAGTCAACAGGGAAAGGAGTTCTTGTGTGGTCTGGCGACCAGTAAGACTCGCAACGCGTCTCACGCCTGTGACAATGTGTGTGTGTGTCCAATAACATGGAGATAACTGTGTGTGTGTGTGTGTGTGTGTGTGTGTGTGTGTGTGTGTGTGTGTGTGTGTGTGTGTGTGTGTGTGTTGGGCAGTTTCTTACCTAGCCAGTCGTTGAACTTCTTGACCTCAGACGGAAGGCCGAGCTCTGTGAAGTCGCCCATGTGGAGCAGAACGTCGCCGTATGGCATCTGGATGCCATCTGTACGCGAGTGTGTGTCGGAAACACACACGAACCTGGTGTGTCCCGCCGGCTTGGGAGTGTCGTAAGGAATGGGGTCTACCCTGAGGGGACAGGCAGGGAGAACAGGCTTAGAAAAGACCCATGGCAGCGGGACCAAAATAAATCTGACCCATTACGCAAAACTCATATTTTGCATGTTTTTGTACTTCCATTTGGGTTTCGACTGCCTCTGAAAACAACCCAGCTGATTTTTGGGCAACAAGTTCATGTGTTTTGGTGTCTGGAAAATGAGCTGTTTCACAAACCTCCAGAACATTGAGTCATATTCCATGGGCATTGCCCGTTGCCTAGCAACCCCAGCAGAGCTTCACCCGTTGCCTAGCAACCCCAGAAGAGCTTCCCCATTACCTAGCAATCCCAGCAGAGCTCCGCCCGTTACTGATTAAATAACATGCTTCACCTCAGCAGTTTAACATTTTAGACCTCTGTTTTGGTTTTTGCTGAAGAAAAACAAACATACACTTAATCAGAAAACTAGCTTTGCACAGGATTTTTTCTTCTTTTTTTTAATTTCTAACCTACTTTACGTCAGGAACCTGAGATGGATCAGATACCAAACAAAACCCAAAGAGAGATGTATATTTTTATATGCATTTGAAAACAGAATAAAGGAACTTCACCTTTGCTTTTAATATTAGTTAGCTAATATTAATTATAATATGGGAAAAGTTCTCTTGTTCCACAGTTAAACTATTTCATTTACAACTACATCTTTTTCATCAATATTAAGCAATTATCGACTTAAAACTAGCTCCCATTTCTTGCTGAAAAGCTACATACAAGTTACTTCTGTCTTATTTTAAGTGAACTAAAGTATTTGGAGAAGAAACCAGATTAAAAAAAAATTGGTAAGACTTTGTGCACTGGATGGACAAATGGAATGAACGGAGGAAGGCACCAACAAATGGGAAATTGGAGAGGATGGAAAAATGGATGGATGGATGAATGAATAGAAAATCTAAACTTTGAGATCCAGTTTTCTTTTCCGTTGTTATCCAGAATAATTCTCTGGTTAAATTCTAGATTTCACAGAACAATCAGATTAATACTGACTACAATCAGATTAGTACCGACTACAATCAGATTCAGACCGACTACTGCTATGGAACTCAGTCAGAAGCTAGAAAATTACTGAAATTGTTTACAAAAGTGCAAAACTGTTGTGATTTATTTTGCTACAAAAAAACATAAAATTTGATTCATGATTGAATTCATGATTAGATGCATTTTTGCAATGTTTTGCTTATTTTCTTTTTATTTCTGCTCATTTTAATGGTTTCATTTTCCCCCTCAACAATGATGGCTTTGGCTGCCGCTACAGACATGTGGATTTAAACAGCACAATGGAGAAAAAACTGACAATTTGTCGAGCAAAAATAACATCTTAGGGACCAAAATCCATTTCAAGAAAAATAAAAGACATTTCAGCCACTAATCTGGCTGATTAGTCCTCACAAGAAGGGCGATGCTTTTAATTTTTCCGTGGCATAAAATTGGCAAAACAGACAGTGAATCAAAGCATGGGTTGTACTTTCAATCCATTATCTGAAGAAAAAAGAAAAAACTAAAGTCTGTGCTAAAAAAAAGGTTTTTTATGGAGGCTTTTTTTGTTTTGTTTGCAGGGAAAAAAGGCGAAGAAACCCCTGCACTGTTTCAAGCTGAAAGCAGAGAGAAAGAAAGTGGGGGAAAAAAATCATCTCTTCTGTAATTGAAGTCTACAACGTGCAATCCTCCAGCACTCTGCCTCTACGCCATTATTTCATTAGAAGGGATGTCACTCTGCCGACAGAAATCAGACACATAATCAACCCTGCAATCTCCGTCCTGACGAGCTCACACAAACACACACAGAGTTAACGCTAATGTGCGCCGAAGATGGCACAAAAACAAGCAGATGAAATCCAAAAGGCTTCAGACGCAGGGAGGCCATTAACGGAGAGAAAATAAGAGACTTTCCTGCTGGAAAACACATCTTACATCCAGACACAAGATTGCAGTGGAAACTTAATTCTGGACCCAATTTTCACATTTCTGTGACATTTGGTGGACAGTATCGGACACGGTAGGGAAGAGTGGTGTTAAAAAATAAAATGTCATCTTTTATATATATATTAGATCTTATATATATTAGAATTTTCCCAAAATTCTAAATTAAAATGTCAAAAAAACCAAAATCTGATTAATCAAAAAAATCGATTTATTGCCCAGGTTGGTTGCTAGGCAACGGGCTGGGCTTTACTGGAGTTGCTAGGTAACCCCGGCAGTTCCTGCTGATTTGTGACGTTACATTCAGGAGGTTTTGGAAACGGCTCGTTTTCCAGACACAATAAAACATTAACTTATGGCCAAAAAACGTCTGGATGAATTTTTTAAGCGTTGGGGTTCAAAGTAGTTTAGACACAAACTGAAGCACAACAATGTGGAGAATGTTAATTTTTAATGCAATTTCAAATCATGATCAATAACCATATCTTACTACTGGTGTGAACCACAAAGAAGATAACAGGAAGTGGTGTTATTAATGTGTGATTTTAATTTAATTTCTTATTTAATGGAAACAGCGCAAATGCGAAATTGTGTTTTTTCAACAAAGTTTTGTGCCCACTTGTAATAGAAACCTAGCTAGTACGATGGCTGGAAGTTACATTAGCCTAAATGAAAATTGGCAGCCTTCCATCTGCTTCAGATTAAGGTTTGCACGTGATAAATACGTAGCAAAATGTTTATAAAGGCAAATCGGCTGTATCCGTTTTGCATATTCTCTCCATCCACATTCTGTATTCACACCAAGTCTTCTTGTTTTACACTCCTAAGGAACATCTCTGCTTTGTTCTCACACACTGCTACAGAGCAGGCATGCATGGCATATTAGGCAAACTGGAAAATGGAGAACTAGCAGCAGAGATAATGATATTTACTACTGACAATCTGCAGTAAACAGGCCCTGCGCTCGTACGTGCACGCTCACATTACTCTGAGCCAAGCGGAGTGGCGCATACGTTGCAGCGAGGCTGCTGATTAGATTTGGTGCTGTGAGGTTCCCGGACGCCGCGCGGCTTTAAAGGATTCGACAGAACCGCATGGGACAAAAAAACAGGCACAAACGTGCGCATATCTCATATACACACAAACACACACATGCATATTAAAACAAAAGCAGGAGAAAGACAAGCTCCTTCTCTTTTCCTTTGAGATTTAATCCACCCGGAGAATGTAAGTAAATACCAGCAGCCCCTATCAATTAGAGCAAGCAGAGGCCAAGAAACCTTCATGATGGTAATGCATTGGTCTCTCTCACACGCAACACTAAGACACAGAGAGCCCAGTCTTTCCTGTTAACATACGACTGTAACAACCCAGAGTTTCATTGGAAATGTATATAGGAGTTCAGGAGTTCAGCGCTGCAGCAGAGGCCTCTGATCTTTTGTAAACGGAGACAGTGAAAATGAAAAAGTCCTCCTGTGATCCAGCAGCAGGTAAAAGAATATCCCCCAGTGACAGACGGAGCTGCGTTAGCATGACGGGTCGCGTTAACATGTCTGAGGAAAGCCTGCAGAGCGAAGAGACGATGTGGAGGGGGCACACTCTGAAACTCTGCAATCCACCATGACGCTGCAGCAGACACACAGCAGAGCGCTGTGGTTGCAGAAGTATCTGCTTGAAGTAGAAAGACATGGCTTTTCATTGTCTAGCAGTGGAACATGGGGGCGTAAACTTCTGCTCACCTCTGACTGGAACGACACAGACTCGGCATTTTAGCTGAACTTAAATTAGGAAAGTTACTCCAACTTTACCCAAACTTCCACTGCCGTTATCCCTGCAGTTTACCCCAGAGGTTTCTTAACCCTGCTCCAAATGTCCTGTATGTTGTAGGGGTTTTCCTGCTGACAAAAACCTGAATTAAACCGGATCTACTGTGCAAACACAAAATCTTACCAAGAAGTTTTGTTCCAGTTTCTACTGCCAATATCTTAGTACACTTGAAATAATACAAAACTTACTTACAAGTAACTTTTCAGCAAGATATTGGATCTTGTTTTAAGTAAATAACTTCTTTATGTTTGGAAAAGAACTAGTTACACTGGCAGATTATTTCACTTATAACTTGGGAAAAATAGCTTGTTATAAGTTAAATAATCAGCCTACTAGTACTTTTTCCATCAATATTAAGAAATTGTGAACTTAGAACAAGCTCCTATATTTTGCCAAATAGTGTATGCAAATTAGTTTTTCTTATTTCAAGTGTACCAAAATATTTGCACAATAAACTAAGCCAAAAATACTTTAAGATTTTGTGTTTTTTCAATGAAATTCACATTTTTTATGTTTTTAAAATTCCATTTTTGTTTCTAAAAACGATCTAAATACTTAAAAAAAAATAAAATAAATAAAAATCACCCAGACATTTTTAACAATAAGTGATGCCATTTTGGTGTGTGGAAAATGAGCTGTTCAAAAACCTCCAGAATGTCGGGTCACAGGTCAGCAGGCCCAGCCTCGTTACCTAGCAACCTGAGCCCGTTACCTAGCAACCCAAGCAGTATTCAACATTCTACAGCAGGGACAAGGTAAACTAAAATATAACAAAATTTATGTTTTGAAATGTCTCTCTTACAAACACCCTATCCACCTGGCTGGTCAGGAAAGTTCCAAGAAATTTAAAAAATAAATCTCTTGATAAGTTTTACGGCATTTAGCAAACAGAAGTCGAGTCGGATTAACTTCAGATAGTAAGAAAAAATTCTGTATGTGCATTTTTATCATCTCTACATATCTGTTTAACTGTAAACAACACTGTCCAAATATAGGCACTTTGAATGTTAACCATTTTCAATGACTTTACACAGAAATTAAGCACTTTCCAAACCTTGAAAAAACAATTGAAATTCAAGCATTTTTAAGAAATTCAAGCACCTTTATAAACCCTGAATATATAAAGATGACAAAATAGAGGTCCATATAAAGCACCTTTATTTTTACTGCATGGAAAAGATTCCAAGACAAAGATTAATTTTCTAAATGTTGCTGAATGTCGTACAGGGATTTTAAACAGGAGTGTGTCGTCGTCAGAGACTAAAATGAAGCCATTTTCTATTAAAAGCACCGTGTTAA